TCCACCTTCCGCTATTCTTCACCAAAATAGTGCTTGAGCCTTTGTTCGTCGACGCGAAATGTTCTTTTATGATCTCTAATAAGCTCAACAGTGCCAAATGAGAATACTTGCTTGATCTAAAATAGCCTCAACCATCTAGACTTCAATTATCCAGTAAATGGCCTTAAATGGTAGTTGAAGAGCAACGCGTCCTGTCCCAAAATGAATTCTTTCCTCAAAATATGCTTGTTATACCACTGCTAGTGTTGGAACTTTGAGCTGGAGGGCCAGCCCGAGGCCTGAATTTTTTGGGCTCGGCGGGCAGGCCCAATTACCGGCTCACCAACAGTAAATTTTCGGGCTCGGGCTCGGGCAACCCGAAAATAGACACCACGCCGGAGCCCACCGCCATGTTGTCGCCGTCAATCGTCGTCCGTCAAAATTTTTTTGAATTTTTCCGGCCAAGCTCGATTTCCCCGAACTGCCCAAAATCCCAACCAACAGACAAAATTTTGACCATTGGACCCTGACCCGACACGAAGCCTGAAAAGCCCGGTCCCAACAGCTAGTTTTTTTACGGTTGCCCGAATTTCAGCCCGAACCCGACCCGCCGAAAACAAGAGTAGCCGTTCGATCCGAATTTGGGGGAAAAAATCAATTTTTTAACCCAAAAATTTTCCTATAAATACCCCCCCCCCCTCATTTCCTCACTCAAAATCTCTTAATTCCTATCAATTTCTCACAATTTCTCTCAATCTCTCTCAATCTCTCAAATCTCTCTCACAATTTTTCTAAAAACTATCACATTATCCTAAAGCTCTCTCTCTCAAATCGCTCTTATTTTTTAAAAATGAATTCTTTTGGTTATAGTGGTATTCATGTTGATGCCCAACACAACGTGGAAGAAGGGCAATTTCCCATTAATGAATTTGTTACGTAGGAATCTAATAATCCGAGCCATGGTAGGCGTGGAGAAGTGACGAGTGCTAGTGCGACTGCGTTTGTAAGTGTTGCAACCTCCAAGAGGAAATGCAAGCGCACCTCGACAGTTTGGGATCACTTCGACACAATTGAGGAGATCAACAATGAAGGTAACACTAAACATATAGCTCAGTATAAATATTGTTTATCTAAATTACAAGGTGACACTACAGCCCCGGGGGTGCCCCGGGGATGGCACCCCGGGGAAGACCCGGGGCTGCCTCGGGGAAGTTACGCGAATGATAGCTGCTTTAGATCAACCACTTGGTTTTGTAGAGCATCCTAATTGGCAACGATATATTAAGGTTGTACATAATCCTAATGTACAGTTCACTTCAAAAACTACTCTTAGGAAAGATTTATTAAAATTATTTAAAAAAGAAAAAGAAGCATTAACAAACCTTTTACACTCGATTAGGGGGTGCGTTGCGTTAACGGCAGATATTTGGTTTGCTGTTGCCAAAAAATATTATTTAGCTGTAACCGGACATTACTTTAAAGGATTTGATTTAGATAAGAGAATATTAGGTTTTAAATATATTCTAAGATCACGTAGCGCGGATTTAATATATAATATAATTTTAAATGTAATTGATGAATTTAGATTAAGAGATAAAGTAATAGATATAACATTATATAATGCTAGTGTCAATACAAAAGCAATTGAGTTCTTTAAAAATGATTTAAGTTTATTCGGTGACGGTACTATTTTCCACCAACGTTGTGCATGTCACGTAATTAATTTAATAGTTAAATCTGGTTTAAAAGAAATGGGTACTAACATTAAAAGAATTAGAGATAGTCTTGGATGGATTAAAGGTAGTAACCAAAGACAAGAAGATTAGTTTAGGTTCTTACAAGCATTAAATATACCTCCTAGAGCATTAGCATTAGATATGCCTATAAGATGAAACTCAACTTATATAATGCTTCAACAATGCATCTCCTATAAGGATGCTATAACAAACTATATGTGTGCAAAATTAGGAGTATGACATATAGATGCATATGATTGGCAAATTGCCGAAGTTTTCTATCAATTTTTAGGTAGGTTTCATGAAGTTACTCTAAAACTTAGTGGAACATATTACCCAACATCACCTTTAGCTTTAGGTGAACTTTTAAGAATTAGTATTTTATTCAGCGAATATAGGGAGGACCTAATCTTAGGAGTTCCTATCCATTCTATGAAAAAGAAATTTAAAAAATATTGGTTTAAGTTGCCTTTGTTGTATGATTTATGTACTATTTTTTATCCTAGAATGAAATTAGACGGTTTAGAAAACTTAGGTGAATTTTTAGGCATCAATTGTTCGAACCAATTTTCAATAATAAAGGCAAAAATATATTCGATCTATAGTAAATATGAGAATAGGTTTAGAAGTACAAACTCTAGAGTACAGGAACCGCAACAACAAGATGAAACCCCGCATTCATTCTTGAATGTTTTCGGGTTGAAGAAGAAGAAGAAGACAACTCAAACAGAAGCTGGGAGTGGATCTTCATCAACATGTGGCAGCGGCGGCGGCAACTTCAATGAGCTTATGGCATGCCTCAGTGAAAGCTTAGTAGTCGACGGTACTAGAGAATCATTTTACTTAGTTCAATTGTGGAGGGCACGGGCATTAACTTGGCCAATCCTAACTCGATTGGCAATGGATATATTTTCGATCTCAGTCTCCACTATTTCATCTGAACAAGCCTTCAGTACGACATGACGAATACCTGAGGAACACCGAGATGCATTGCAAAGGGACATTGTTGAAGCCTTGGTCTGCATTAAGGATTGAGATCGTGCCGATCAACGTCTACACGATACAATTTCGCCAGCAAGTTAAGAATGGATCGATGAATTTAATCGATTAACATTTAATTTTGAAGACGATCCTTTAGCTTCAAATTAAATTGTAAATTTATAATTTGTAAATATGTATTTACTTTTGACATTGTAATTGTATAACTTTGTAAGTTTGCAAAATTTGTAATTCGTCACAAAAAGATTGCACTCTTTTTTCCTTACCAAGTTTTTATCTCAATTGAGTTTTTCTTGGTAAGGTTTTTTTTAACGAGACAATCATGAATTACGAATTTAAAAATTAATATACACAATTAATTTATTAAATTGTGTTAATAATGTCTGTTGAATGTTGATTTTAGTTTTTATATAATTTTAACACAAAATAACTTAATAATTATAAAAATTTAAAAATTTTAAAAAAATTCAGGCATTTCGGGCAAGCTCGAGCTGCCCGGCCGGGCTCGGGCAGCCAAATACAAGCTTGCGGCCCGTTCACGGGCCTTCTCGAGCTTGGGCGGGCGGCCCAAAATTTTTGGGCGAGTCGAGTCGTGCTTTGGGTAAAAACTCAGTATTTTCGGATGGTCGCGGGCGGCCCGTCCAAAGTTCCAACACTGACCACTGCTTAGTATGCTCCTTGTAGATTCTTACACTTTCATAAGCATCATTCTGAAATTCCTGTAGCTCATTGAGTTGCAATAAGCGTTTCTCCCAAGAAGCCTTCAAGTCGAAGTTTAACTTTTTAACAACCTAAAATGCTCAGTGCTCCGAAGGAGATATTCCGATCGGTGTCTTGAAAGCTGTCTTATACGTCCAAAAGGCATCATCAAGCTTCGAGGCCTAATCCTTACGGTTAGTTTGCATCCTCTTCTACAGGATTTACTTGACCTCCTGGTTGGATATCTACATTTGATCATTGGTTTGGGGATGATAAGCGAGAGCTACCTTGTGCTTTATTCCATACTTAGACAAAATGGCATTGAACACCTTGTTGCAAAAGTGGGTTCCTTCATCACTAATTATGGCTCGAAAAAAACTGAAACTAGTGAAGATGTTCTTATGCAATAATTTTAAGATAACTCGGGCATCATTTGTTGGAGTGGCAATAGCTTCCACCTATTTAGACACAATCAACCGATTTTTGGTCTTTTAGCAACGACTATTGTCATTGCTAAATCGCTCTTTTATTGTAGTGGTGGAGATAGGAAAGGGAAACTTCTTTAAAAAGAAATGAATAATGTTCTTATGGCTTTAATATTTTGGTTGGTTTTTTTAATGTTTGAAATTGTCTCTTGAGTTTTGAAAATGTATATAACAAGTTTTTCTTTTCAACTCTTAATGGGTAAATGAGGGGAGTACGAGAATGACTTTTACTTTGGAGATACCCAGAACCCCGTTACAGATCAGACAGGTATGGGGTGGGTACGGGTGACAAAAAAGGGAGTAGGATATTAGGGTGGCGGAAGCTTACATGCTCCGCCCGTTTACATCCCTAATCAGGATTTACACTGAAAAGGTCATCAACTTTAATTTTTCGTATCAAACAATGTTGTGGAATGTGAAGCACTACATTTGATATTAAAGTCGCTAAAAAAAAATTGGGATCAAGAGATTGAACGTGCTGAGCGATGGTAAACTAGTGATGGAACAATTAAATGCAAAATTTGTGACGCAAGACATAAGCTAGTTGCCTCCCAGAAGAAAGTGTAGCAATTGTCGAGGAGTTTTAAATACACTAGAGTGACCCAACTTCAAGAACTCAACAACGAGCTAAGAAACTAGTGAGTAGTGCTTCGGTCTATAACGATGAGAAGGGTGAGTACTCATTCATAGGAATGTCAAAAGAATCATGTATGGCGACTTAATCAAAGATGTAGACATAGTAATGGAGATCAAGATGGAAGAACAATGTTGGTTTGGCCCTATTATATCGTTAATGGCCTCTTGTTCAGAAATCATTTTCAGGGCCCTACTCTAACGTGTATTAGATGAAAGAAAGATGTGCATGAAGGAGTACGTGGAAATCACTCGAGGAGCAAGTATTTGTGTGAGCTTAAGAAGGAGCAATCTGTTTTTGAAATACTTGCGCTAATTAGTCCTTTCCTCAATTTTTCTTTTAGTTTAGTTCTTTTTGGCAAGTATATTTGGTTGAGATGATGCTACAAAGAATGGCTTAGAAGTGCATAGTTTAATTAAAGTGAAAGCTCTATTATTATTATGACAGAGAACAAATCAAGATTCTATGTTTAAATTAAAATGAAAGCTCTTTTATTAATATGGAACACTTTCATATTCTCAGCTAAAGAAATTGAAGAGACTCAAAAGAAAAAAAATATATATTTACATTGATTTAGATTCTTATAAGCAGAGAGAAAAATATACGAGGCTTTAATATATATATATATATATATATATATATATTTTCAAGCGTCTACTGTAATTTTGAATACAGGTCGAGAAGGGGAAGCTTGGATCTGTGTTCGTCTATGAGCGACAAAGCAGTAGATGCAATGTGCTTGGAAGTTAGCCCTGCAGCCTCGATTTGGTCCGTCTGAGCTCCATGGTCAATGTATCTATCCGGAAGCATCATCGGCCGCCACTGCACGAATAGAAATTAACCACTCAAATAATTTAGTATTGATACATGTGATCCAAATAATGTTAGCTAACGAATATAATTAGTGATTTTCTAATCTGCATTGGCTTTGATTTATAGATTAATAAGAATATCACCTTAAGCTTTCCGCCGTCAAGCAATCCATTAAGGCCTAAGAAGTTTGAGACATGAGAGCTGAATCCTCCAATGGAACCTTCTTCCACAGTAATCAAGATCTCATGTTCTTGAGCTAATTGTCTGATCAAGCTTGCATCAAGAGGCTTACAAAACCGCGCATCTGCCACGGTGATCGAAATGTTCAGAGTTTGGAGAAGATCTGCTGCAGCTAAACAACTTTGTACAGCCGTTCCATATCCTAAAATGGCTATCCGACTTCCTTCTCTTAGCACCCTCCCCTTGCCAATCTGTATTGTATTTATTTAAAAAAAAAATACTTAATCAAAGATGAATATTATAATTAATGAATTACATACGTATAATGATGAAGTTTTGTCTAATAAGTACCTCTAATGGGGACCCTTTGTTGTTTAGTGGAAGAATGGACCCAACGCCATTTCCTCTTGGGAACCTAAAGCAACTGGGTCGGTCATCGATGGCCGCTGCTGTGGCCACCATGTGCATAAGTTCAGTCTCACAGGCAGGGGCCATCACCACCATGTTTGGCAAACATGCCATGAAAGTTACGTCAAATGCTCCGCAATGTGTTGGACCATCTGCACCCACAAGACCGGCCCTATCCATCGCAAATCTCACCGGGAGCTTTTGAAGGTCTACATCATGAACCACCTGCATGATTTTTATACATTATTAGCATGATTGAAGTAAACAATATAATATACATCATGAACCACCTGCATGATTTTTATACATTATTAGCATGATTAAAGTAAACAATAGATATATATATATATATATATATATATCATGAACCACCTGCGTGATTTTTATACGTTATTTGCATGATTAAAGTAAACAATATATATACATCATGAACCACCGGCATGATTTTTATACATTATTAGCATGATGAAAGTAAACAATATATATATATATATATATATATCATGAACCACCTGCGTGATTTTTATACATTATTAGCATGATTAAAGTAAACAATATATATACATCATGAACCACCGGCATGATTTTTATACATTATTAGCATGATTAAAGTAAACAATATATATATATATATATTTATATATAAAGATTTAAAAAAGTACTGAATATAATTTTTTAGGAAAAAAAAAAGGTTAAAGGTTGTCAAGAGAAATTGTATTAATTTACCTGATCATAACCTCTTTGCAAAAAAGAAGAGTAAATTGCACAGAATGGCTTCATGCCTTCAGCCGCTAGGCCAGCAGCAAATGTAACGGCATGCTGCTCCGCTATTCCGACATCAAAACATCTATCTGGAAGTTCTTTCTGGAACAAGTTGAGTCCAGTGCCGCCACCCATTGCAGCATGAATGGCAACAATTTTTTCATCTTGCTTTGCTTCAGCGATTAAGGACTCGGCAAAGTACTGCGTGTACGAACGAGTACTCGTTTTCGACTTCAACTGCTTCCCAGATTTGGGATCGAATTTCACCACACCTAAGGATGAAACCAAAATCTCGTCAATCCTAAATATCCAGATCATTAAAGTTTTATTGAGAAACAAAGGAAATATAAAATGTTTCGTATTAAACTATTTGCAATACCATGCATCTTATCGGCCGCAACTTCAGCGGGAGCATAGCCTTTTCCTTTCTCTGTCATGACATGGATGAGAACAGGCCCTGGTGTTGGCATAGACTTAACATTAGTCAAAATGTCGACAAGATCTTCTACGTTATGGCCGTCCACTGGACCAATATAATAGAGTCCGAGTTCTTCAAACAATGAAGCCCCTGAACTGGCTGTCATTGCTCGCATATACGCATCAACCTTCGAAGTAATTTCATGGGTTTGCCCCCCAATTTGCTTGGAAATACCCTATTGACAAGTCATATGAAAACAGTTATTACTAGAGAAATGTAGAAATATACTAAAAGCACAAGAAATGTCGGAAATGCTTGTTGCACCTTTGCAGCCTCACGCAGCTGGCGGAACTTTGTGCTAGAGTGAATATTGGCGAGGGCTTTGCTTAGAGCTCCAACAGGAGGAGCGGGACCGTCAACAGTCGCGGTGGGAAGAGAGACCTGTTTGTTGTCGTTTAAGATGATGATGAGATTACTGCCGAGATAACCTGCATTGTTCAATGCCTCGTACGCCTGTCCTCCAGTCATGGCTCCATCTCCTATTACAGCAATTACATGGTTTTTCTTCCCTTGCAAGTCCCTTGCAACCGCCATCCCTACAAATAGTTTAATATAGAGTTTAGTTTGTAGGAGCAACTTTGATCTTCAATTTTTTACTTTTTTTTTTTTTTTGAAATCTTTATTTTATCATTTTGCACAATTAATTTTGATTAAATCTGATATAATTATAAAAGGTGGATTTTGTTTGATTAAGAATACACAAGAGATAATCTTATTACGATTTCTTAAAACACCTTATAAGTTTTAGACGTGAGAGATTTACCAAGACCAGCAGAAATGCTAGTGGAACTATGGCCAACTCCAAAGGAGTCATGGGGACTCTCTTCCCTCTTTGGGAAGCCTGCGAGCCCAAAAGTTTGTCGAATTGTATGCATTTTTGACCTCCTTCCTGTTAAAATCTTGTGAGCGTAGGCCTGCAAATCCAGTAAAACAGATGGTTACAAAAGCGGGTTTTACTTCCACTAATATATCACTTTCCACGGTTAATTTATTATTATCTTTTTGTTTTGGTAAAATATTTACACATATATTATATATGTGGTAGTTACATGTTTTTATTCTCTTATGAAAAAAAAAAATATTTAAAAACAAAAAGAGATAAGGAAGCTATCTTTATTCGGTCCACAATTTATACGTAAATTAAAAATAATTCTAATTATATAATTTTAATCTATAAAACAATCACAATGTATTCTTAAATATTCTTAGGGGAATCACCTGAGAAAAAAAATGTTTTTATATTTTGCTCAGAAAAACGCGTCTTCCATTTTGAAAGGGCCCACAGAGAAAATTGTACTAGTTACAGTACTTTAACATTGTAGATAAAAACAACATAAGAGTTGTTGAGTAAAAACAAATTATAACGACAATTACACGTGTCTACTTTGTCGTCTTTTTTTTTTCTATTATTAGTACACTTATTATCACGACCTTATAGTTTTATTTTTTTTTTTCTTAGGCTTTATTATGTGGGGTATTCTAATTTTTTTTCTGTCTAGTTTTTATTACAAAAATTTGAATTAGAAGTAGATATATTATATAAGACGAGTTGTCTAGTGGATAAATGTGATAAACTTTTCTAACACCATACCTCTTCATTTGAAGAAAAATAGTATGGATTTATCTGGATTCTTCAACTAAGAGTTGGCATAGTTCTCCTTAAAACTCAAGATTATCCAATTTATTACAAAAACACAAAATCAAACAAAAGTAAAAAAAATAAAAATAATAATAATAATAATAAAAAAACTTGATCTTATACCTGGTGACCGACATCCCAAATAATCTTGTCTTCAGGAGTGTTGAATACATGATGAAGTGCAACTGTGAGCTCAGCCACACCTAGGCTTGAGCTGAGGTGCCCTCCAGTTTTTGACACCGTGTAAACAATGTCCTCGCGAATTTCGTCGGCTAATATCCCAAGTTCCTGGAATGATACACAAATGAAACAAAAAACCTTAATATTAAGCATAACAAGTAGTGTACATTTTAGTGTGATTTTTCTATAAAATTATAGTATTATTTTAACTTTTCATAAATGATCAAGAGAAAAGCACAAGTGTTAAACGTTACCTCGGCAGAAAGATTCTTCATGTGAGCAGGGTAGTTAATGGTGTCGAGAATCGGAGTCGAAGGCTTTTCGCCGGAGAAATTGAGAAGCCTGGGAAACTCCACGCCATTGATGCTCTTGCCATCGTTCACCAAAGTCATCTTGTAATCTCCATCCGCGTTATTGTGTAGAGCAGAAATCATACCAACAAACTGAAAACCAAATTGAAAATTGTGTTATAATTAGCAGTTTTCTCATTCCCACATACATAAAAATTAAAAAAATTAAAAAAAAAAAAGATTTTGTTTTTCGCTGCTATATTACCTTCTTTTGGTTGCTGCTAGGGACAACGTTAGACGTTAAAGTTGGCAAGCCAAGACAGGGTTGTCCATTTTGAGAATGGAGCGATGGGATGAAACTAGTTTTGAGAAGAGAAGACATTTATTTCTTTGGATTTCTCTTACGTTTACGAGAAGAAGTAGAGTAACTTGAATATTTGATGATGCATATAACGGAATATAAACTGAAGTGATTGTAGAGCTGAAGTGGGTTGAGCTGAAATCAATGAAGGCTGGTATTTATAGGAAAGCTCTGGTGGTGCGACGTTGGAGATGGGAAATTTCCTCATGATACGCGTGTTTGATTTTCCTTTCTTTATTTGATTTATTTTAATGAGGTTATGAAAATAGAAATAATCTTAAGGTGACGAGTGAGACTTTCTTTTTGTAAGCAGTGGACAAGTCGTACGTGGTTGGCACTTGCTTTTCCGGGCAATAAATTAAAGAATTGTTTCTTTTTCCTTATTATTATATTTAAGAAAGAACGTTTAAGCAAAAAAATCACGTTGAACACGACTGCGTCGTGGTTGATGTACTTGTGTCGTTTAGCAAAAAAAAAACAAAAACAAAAACAAAAACTAGTGTGGACCACCCTTTTTTTGTTTTTTTTCCCCTACAAAAGGCCTGTTTATTCTACTGACAACTTTAAATTCTTCTGCTAATTCTCTCACGTAAAAAAAAAAAAAAAAAAGGTAATGTCGACTACATTGACTGTCCTTTTTTGTTTTTTTTTTTTTTTCTTTGATGAAACACATGAAAACTGGACACAAATTTTTTTAGTAGAAAGATGACATAGTCCATAACTCCCAAGAAAACCCCACCGCAGTCAAAGAGTATTAACGCCAAGAAACAACCCCCCGTATCTTGCCACTTCTCCTACTTCCACCGGTTTTAAGGGGGGTTTTTCAAGAATTTTAGATGATTTTTCTATGCAATTTTTTTAATGTAATTACTTAAGAACCGTTTAGATCGTGATTCGAGTTTTTAAGTAAACTTGTTGGGTTAGTAAAATTAGCTGATATTGATGTTTTTAGATTTATGAAACTGATTCTAGATTTTTATGGAATTGGTTTGTAAATTGGTTTAAATTTGGTTTGGTAATATGGATTTTCTTAGATTTATGAACTTGATTGGGTTATTGGGATTTTTGGAATTTTTATACATTTTAAAAGAAATTGGTTGTAAATTTGATTGGGTTCGTGAAAATTGGTTGTAAATTTTGTTTAGGTATATTGATTTTATAAGATTTATTAAATTGATTGTGCGGATTGGACTTTTTAGATATTTATGGTATTGGTTGTGAAATTGAATGTAAATTTGATTGGGTTCGTGAATTTGGTTGTATTTAGTCATATGTGGTCGTGAAAAATATTGTGTGATTGGACTTTGTAATTATTATGGAATTGCATGGTTCTGAAATTAGTTTGTGAATTTGGTTCTAAATTTTGTTGAGTTTGTCAAATTGGTGCGTCAATTTAGTCGTTTGTTTGGTATAATAAATTTTGTTAGATTTGGAAAATTGATTTTGTGTTTGGACTTTTTGAGATTTTTTTTTTTTTTTGGGTAGAATTTTTGTTCTATACTGAAAGATCTGTTCTTGTCAAATATTTTACCAAGCTAAATTAATAGACTATAAAATAAATAAATAAATAGGCACAAGATGTTAGGTATTTTGTCTAATTGGTATGTTTTGGCAACGTGTCTGTAAATCCAAAAACAGGTACTACGTGATCATGGTGCATATTTGAGGATTGAATTATGAGGAAGAGAATTGTTTGGCTTTAATTTTGAAAAGGATTAAATTGGAAACGAGTAGATTTTGTGTTTTGGCGGATTTAGTACTACAATATTCGTGGCTTAATTGATTTGTTTCTGAAGAAGATTTCATGGGAGTTATTTTGAAAACATAGTGGCTGTGATTGATTGAGATTGTGGTGCTTTTAGAAAGTTTCAGATTTTGACTTTGAAGAGAAGATATGGGCTGCTTAATTTCTAAGGAAATTCGGCTTAGAATTTGCATGATAATTCTCATATTTGATTCGGATTTGTGTTTTAAAGGGAAGTCTTGCACTCAAAACTCAAAGGAGGGTGTGAGGGTTGTGTAATCCAAATTTGATCTCTTTTATGTCTAGGTTCTTTGCGCAGTCTTGGGAGATTTATTTAGGAAGAATCGTGGTAATTGTTTTGAGTGATTCTTGTGATATTAAAAAGCCTTCTTTAAGGTGTGTTTTTACAGCTCACTTGGTATGCAATTATCATGAAAGTTGCTTAGAAAGAGTCTATGCACGGTACATAGTGTTGTACGTAACTTTTGTTTAAAGTGTGTTGAACGTGGGCGTGTGACTTGTATTGAGAGAAAATATTTTCAGAGAGTGAGCTATGTGTATGAGTTTTGTTGTTGTTTGCGTGAAGATTGTTCTTCGGGAGAAGGACTTGTTGGTTTTGAGAGAAAGGCCACTGCCAGTCGAAGGGAATTCGCCGAGCAGTTCGGTGACGAGTGGTGCTCGCTGGACAATGTCATTAAGAGGATTCTCCACAGCGGCGACAACGTTAAGGAGGAAGTCTTTGGGTGTATAAGTCTGATTATTGTTTGTAAGCTTGAGGCTTAGTGGATTGTTCACTGTTTAGGCGGCCCCACAGATGTAGTGTGGGCACCGAACTACGATACTAATTCCTGATGTTCTTTATGTTTCTGCACTATTATTTCCTGCTTGATTACTTTGACACTTATGCCGATAATCATTATAGTTAATCGTTAGTGTTATAGAAAGTGTTATAACACTCTCTAGAACACCTACGTAAAAAAACAAACATTTCACAAGAAAATTTTATTGTGGTTCGGTAAAAGCTTAGATTCACGGGCCCAAACTCGGACATTGAACTATCCACTAATTCTCAACGATTACAAACACCAATAGGACTTCAACACATAAAGACTCCTTCTTTGATTTTGTAGCCACCGTGTAGAATCAACTAGATGGCCTGATTCAGCAAACACAATTCGCCTTCAAAACTACATAGCGAAATCCCTTCATCTGACTGATCGCTCTCTCTTGAAAGCTTCAAATTCTTCTCCCTAAGAATGATAAACGGTTAAATTCCCTTCAAGAGCATTGAATACATGGTGAAGTGCAACTGTGAGCTCAGCCACATCTAGGCTTGAGCTGATGTGCCCTACAGTTTTCGACATCGTGTAAACAATCTCTTCGCGAAGTTCGTCGACTAATATCCCAAGTTCCTGGCATAATACTGTGACGACCTTAACTTTCGGTCATATATTCTACATTCATACTTAGCATTTCCTATCTTTTACTACTTTTTAATTATAACCTCTTTAAAATTTAGACTAATTTTTTTTCTTCAATAGTAAAATTGATTCTAATAACCTTTAGCGGAATAAAACTTCGTTCAGTGATTTTTATAAAACTCGAATATCAAAAATTACTATCCTAAAAACAATTTCAACTTTTCTTTTAAAATCTTAAACTTGTTCTCCTTACTCATGGTCATGTATTTAACCTATCATTCGCATGCCATTACTATTCATATGCCTTTAATGCAATATCATTTTTGCTATGCATGCCATTAATGCTATAACATTTTAGATACATTATACATACCTTGTGACTTGAGGTTGTTATACATAGCCTCGTTATCTCGTATACTTTACTTTCATTACATAACTAGTCTAACTTCATAAAATAATATTTACTTTATCCACATAAGGCTTAGCAGCGTTTCCAAAACACGTGACGTATCTACTACCCACTTGCCCACATGTCACTGCTTCATCCTTTTCCACATGCCCAACAAACAGGTTTAGAGAGCCGGTGTCTTACCCGTGCTTCCTACAACACGAACAAACCTAATACGCTTTCGCTCAGCAAGTAATAGCAGGCCATAATAAATGCAAATAATAATGCACACCCATATATGAATTCATATCATACGCCCTAACACGCTTCCTAAACATTCAAAGTGTTCATCATATTATGCTTTCTCTTCTTTCGTTTCATACTTCTTGACATCTTTTGTTTTTAGTGTCGTTCATTTTTCATAGCTTTTACTTGTTATGGGCCTCATCCTATTGTACCATTGCACGCATAACCAGTGAGGAGTGGGGTAGCTAACCAAAACTAACTCACTCATGGTTTCATTCATAATCATAATAACCTTTCCTTGCGAAGGCCGGTACAAATAGTATTAATAACTTCTTATCGTTTACAATCTTTATTTATTCATCATCTTACTATCAGCATTCATATTATGACAGTAATTTTAATCTTTTCATCTTACTATCATCAATTCATATTATGCCAGTAATTTTAATCATATTGGTATATCTTTTAGCATTCTTACCAATTTCTAATGAAATTGGAGTTTGTTCAAATGTTTGACTTTTGTTGACTTTGACTCTAACTTTATTGTTGATTAAAATTCTACTGCTAATACAAGTCCATAAGCACATTCAAATCAACAAACAAGTTTCAAGAAACATCCTCCACTTAATGACGTACAATGAAATCATCTTATGCGCAGATTTGTGCAATACAAAGAAATAATCTTGTTCGTGGTATAGACATAGAATAACTACTGTACTTATAGGAGTTCTACTAAGGTCACGGCTTTTGACTCTCCAGAAACCTTGCTTCCTTGATCGCATATTGGTCCTATCATATAAATTTCTAATCATTAGATTTACAATCTAAGATCATTAATTGAAACACAATTTGATCCAAATTCATGGTTTCGTAAATGGTATTTTCTTAAAATGCGTATGTCATTTTTAAAATTCTTAAAGAGATCTACGATTTTATGTTCGGTATTGATTAGTGCATGAAAATGCACCATAAATATTGCTTTTGATTTATATAATATTAAAATATTTAAGCTTTAATTAAACAAATCCATTATTTTTATTCATAATATTTTTAATTGGAATTTGTCTAGTTTTTGCTTAATTATTTGCAGATAAAAAGCAGTGTAAAAAGCTACACAAAAATAAGCCATGAAAGCCATGTTTTCAACTACCCGGAGCCAAGCCGCGT